CTGAATTCCCTGACTTTGAAAACAAAGAAAAGTAGACCGTAATTACTTTTTAAGCGGCACAGGGCGCGCTTACAGCGTCTAGACGAGCGGACTACACCCCCTTTACTTTACCGGATAAGAAGTATTCTTAATATTACTTCACTTTATTTTAGATGTGCGTTAGCGACGCATTTCAACGCGCGAGAATTTTTTAGCCTCTTTGTAAAATAATAACCAATCAAAAATTAAATATGAAAATCACGAGAGGTAGATATGATGATTAATTATCCTTACATTCAACAGGAATCGTTGTCTGGGTTTTCTTTGCGTCACAGCAGAATGAATTCTGGGTGCATTTATGAATATGAATGCTACTTAATTACTATTTAGAAAGTAATATGATGGAAATTACTTTAACGGTTTCATTTAAGTGTGTTTTGCATTTCATTCTTCATCTATTTTATTGATTAATAACCACACGTAAGAAATTCCTTATAAGCTTTCTAGTTTTATGTAAAGCAAAACAGGATCTATCAAAAGTTGTTCATCCGTGATTCTTTGTGATGAGATAAAATATTTTCCGAACTGTTTATTTGAATAAAAATATAATTTGCTAAAATATTTTTGTATTTTTAATATAAATTTATGGAATTAGATAGAAATGAATTAAGAAGAGCAGAGAAGTTTGAGATAGAGAAAGTTCATGATGTGTTGCCCATAGTGTAACTTTAGACCAGATATCCAGTAAACTAGCTGGATGTTCTGAACACTATGGCTTAGAAGCACATGAGAAAAATGCCAGGCAGCTTGGAAGAGAAGCCAGATATTAGTCGCTCATTCAATTCTTCAAAACATTTTGAAATAAATCGCACATAAGCCACAAAAACTAACTAAATAATGAATGAATATCCATAAGATAGCTTTCACTATACGTATACGTGCAACATACATGCAAGTGTGGTCTTAAACCTGATCACAAAGTTTAATTTCCTAAACCCAGATGACTCACCAGCCATTCTACAGTCTTCGAATGGAAAATTTTGATCGCCCCTTATATATTTATTTGGTACTTACATATTATCTCGTCGATTGGCCAAGTAGATCGATTTAGCGCCAATTATGGATGACTCACTTCCTTTAGAATTCCGCAGTAATGACTGGTGACCGTTGTCGAAATTTCCACCAATGGTCGACGGAATAATACTTAAGTACCATTTATTTAAATGCAAACTGCTGTTATTATTTTCGATTTTTTTTTTCAAGTTGAACATTATTTTAATTTGCAGCCCAACTGATTGCCAAAATCTAAAATTTTATTAGATATTGGATTAAACTTTTAATTCTAAATATATCTTAGAGATATAAATGCATACAGTGTATAAATGCATACAGTATAGAGATATAAATGCATACAGTGTGGACTGGATATTGCTTCAGGATTTAAAAGTCAGAAATTTAAAATTAAGAAAATTTTTCCCAAAATAATGTTAGACTAAAAAATCTTATTTCTGAGATTTGAAATGAATATGACAGTCCGAATGGTAATTAGGGTTGGTAAAGGAAGAGGAGGAAGCTTTTCCTTGTTAAATGAAAAGACTGACTCTGAAAATAAATCCTATAACACATTAGAAAGTTAATTATTACATATTTAACCATTAGAGTAAGTGACTAAGGTTTAATCACTTAAGCGATTAAGGTGTGATTAAAATTTTTATCAAATTCATTATGAAATGAATCTCATAAAAACCTTAATCACATATATCATCATAATCCTTAATCATATATCACGAGGTAAAAACAAAAAAAAATAAAAAATAAAAAAAAATAAAAAAATAAAAAAAAAATCTGATGAGACACATTACTTCCTTGTACGGCCTATTAAATTATAGACATTTTTTTTTGGCACTTCATTTAAGTTTTATTCCTTCGAATTTCGTTAGAGGTATATTTTTCATTCAACCAATTCAGTTCTCACAAAAAACACAAAACGCATTTGTTAAAAACTGTAAAATACAGAAACAGTTACACAAAACAATTTTTTTCGGTGTGTAAAAAATTTTAAGTAAACTTACGTTTCCATTGTGCAAAAAGACACTTAAGGTGGTGCCCCAACTTACTAAATTGACTATGTTACTAAGAGTTTTAAAGGTAAACAAATAACTGCCACGTTAGACCCAGCGCCACTTACACATTTACATTGCTAATAATTCTGGAACCATTGCATGCAAATTAACTAACGCCGTAAAAATCTTAACCGAAACATAAGATCAACATAATTCAATCACTTTTAAAGCAAAAACTGCACAATTTACCAACATGTAAGAATAAAAAAAAAACAGAGCTAACCGAGCTGGGTAAGAGGGGGGGGTATGTATTATATGTATATGTTTCGTGCGGCGTATAACAACAAAAAATGGCAGGTGCACAAGTATATGTTATAGAAAGTCTCATATATAAAGTTTGAACATTCTGAGACTACTGGTTTTTGAATTATGTGAGATACATACATACATACGTACGTACAGACATCACGAAAAAATCTCACTTATGAATCCATTTTAAATCCATTTTACAATTCGCTTTGGAAAAAGAAAGAGTCCTTTATTCTGTGCATACGTACATACATCACGGAAGAAAAAAATCATTCAAATGACAGAGGTCAAAATGAACTGTTTCGTTAAAATATTGTTACGAAATGTCAAGGCGGGGTGAGATGGCTTCCCTTCAAAGCAGTTTTAGGGTTGCCATATTTGGCGAGAAATCGCCCATTTGGTGACATTTGGCGACAAAATTTGGCCATTTGGTGACCATGGACGGTTTGAGAACCTTCTGGAACGAATTCTTACCGGTTTAGCCCAGTATGTTCTGGAACACAAGCCGAAAGCTATATAAATCCTGCTGGTCTCCAGTCAGTTAGTGTTTATCTCTCATCGAGTGTGTGTGCCTCGCCGAAAAGGCGAGTGAGAGTGCCTCGTAAAGTGCGAGATAGTTAGTATCGAGTTGGTGTCTCGTTTTGCGAGTCAATCCCTGAGGAGTCGATCGAGTAGACAGCCGGGCAGCGAGTGCCGAGTGGGTCGTCGAGTGCACCGAAGGAGTCTGTTAGTGTATCGCGGTTAGTGCATCGTCGAGAGAGCGTGTTGAGCTCTGGGAACGACTGAACCGAAGAGTCGGGAGCTGTGCTCGTGTGTCGTCGGATGCGTCGCGAGTTGTAACGTGGAGAGTCTCGAGAGTAAGTGGAGTTCCGAGAATGACCAAGCAGAGTTGGGAGCTGTACTCTGATGCTTTGCAGGAAGCTGTCTCCACCGCTATTGCCTGACAGTGTGAAAGCTGTGTCGCTGATCATGTCAGCGGTTTTATAAAAATTCGACGACTGTAAACGAAATTTTGGAGCTGTCCTGATTAATACCAGCCAATAAAGTGTGTTCCGATACTTCATCAAGTGTTGTCGTTATTCACTCCAAATCCACACGAACCCCGTACGAACTGGTGTCAGAAAAAGAAAAACGCAACAATATGATATCCCAAATTTTTTGCGATTACCGTACTTCTTTTATATCGTACAAGGAAGTAAAAAAAGTAAAATTCCGGCGTATGTAAAACGAAAATATATATATATATATAGCTTGCCCCTAAAATAAATTTAGAGGGATGGAAATTTTGCAGGAAAAGCGAAATGACTCATATTCATGGGAAAAACCTCGAAATTTGCCATGCAACTAATCCTTTCATCTTAATTTGAAAGTTACGTCGAATTACCTACAACATTCTGCAGGTTTCCACTCAGCTTCCAATAGCTGTACATTTTTTAAACTTATAATAATTGCAGTTGGTGTAAATCAGCTTATTGCTGCCTTTGTTTTATTGTGCTTAATCTCTGCTATGCATCCAATCCGCATTCAGCGAATTTATTATGAAGTATATTGTTTCTAATGCGCTAAAACTAGTACACTGTCAGGCATCGTTCCACTGTAAAACGATTTTCAGAACTTTTTTTTTTTTTTTTTTTTTTTTTTTTTTTTTTTTTTGTTGTTGTTGTTGTTCTGACCTAAATTTAAAAAAAAATAATTCTTGTCGGTTCTGTTGAGCTTTAGATTTTAAATTATAGTCTATTGATAATCAAAATATGTATCTTTCCTTTCTTAGCTCTTCATTCATAATCTTATGTTTTCGTTGTGTGAATCGATTAGCTAGCCTACTTACCGAATTTTCGAAATATAAATTTTAAAATTTGCCAAATATAATTACTTTTTACAATTTCTGAAATGCGAATTTGCACAATATTAACCGCTATTTTTTGTTATTACACATTGCCAGATAAATGGATTCGTACATTTATTTTCAGAAAAACTGAGAGTTTAAAATTGGAAAACCTTCCTTGTAAATCTCTAATTATACTATACCTAAACTGTGACTGATTATATCGGTGATTTGGATACGAATCGACTAATATTCGAAGACAAATGTAATTTTTTAAATGTGAATTTCTAACTCTTAAAAAATAGTCTCCATAAAGTTGTGGGGGCACTTTTATGCCTGGGCACAACTATGCAATTAAATTTTAATCTGCTATTCTGGTTCACAAAGCAAACAAAATTACATTTACCTAGTGATGTTCCGGCATAAAACTGTTAGCATTTATAGTATGAAAGTTTTTTGGTACTTACGTATCACCCTGCCGACAGTGAAATAGTCGCCAAACAGTGCGATTTAGTGCCAGTTATGGGTAAGCTTGATGCAACAACACACTCTTAATAACTGCGCTTTCGCTTGATGTAACCTCGACTAATTCTCAATAAACCACTTTTTGTCTTTATGAACAAAGATATAAATTAATTGTTATTATTGTATTGTTCTTGCATTTTGAAAGAAAAATGATTTAATTTTACGAATTGACTTCTACTATGATTGACAGGCAATGCATTATTTCCAAAGTAATGGGATCCTACCTATAGTGTGTATTAATGGTTAACTGAACATAGCCAGCAAAACAGTAATAATTTGAAATAATTTCTAATACTTACGTATTATCTAGTCGACTGTGAAAATTGGCTACCATTGAGCCCTGGCGAAGATGCCGCGAAAAGCTGTGCCAGTTGTTCCTGTAGCATTCTGAAGGAAATGACACCTCTTAATAAACAATCAGTATTCGACCCGCTTCGTCGATTTCTACTATTTTGTTAGGCTCTCCGTTTTTTTATCTGAAGCTCAGTTTAGAAAGCTTCTCAGGGCTTAATTTCTAAAATTGAGAAGTGCAGGAGCCGTACGGAAGACTGAGGAACGAAAAGGAAAATAAATAAATAAAATAACAAAAAATTAAGATAAATAAATAATTAAATTTTAAATGAGACAAAGAGAAATATCATAAATTATAAAATTGATTTTAAACAGCTAAATAAATAATAAAAAAAAATATCGGACCTTGTTTCATTTGGAGCTCCAGCTGGAATTAAAATTCCAAAGCTAAGAAACAGCTGATTATATGATTAATGTACTATTTCAAGGGATGACAGATACAAAACCATTCTCTTTTTGCAGCCCGCCAATGAAAAAAGATAAAACGTTTGAAGATTCACTAAAAATAGTGAGAATTTAGAAACGGTATGAAGATATGGAAGGAAATTTTAACAGGAAAGTGTAGCTTTGAAAATAAAGAGGGAAGCGTCCAAGACTTTTCTTATCGCGATGCCCTATCGATATAATTTTAGCTGTCAAGCAGAAATTTTCCCTGAATACAATTTGATAACAACGTGGGAATAAACGTAAGACTCCTCTGTTCCGCTGTCATAAATTCATTGCACATCCTGGAGAAAAACCTTTGAAGTGTGGGAGGAGACTTTTCTTTCCTTAAAAGTCTCAACTTCTGTCCAAGGCTTGAGTCCGAGGAAAAGACAGGCTAGCATTGAGAAGTTAGAATCGATTTTTAAGGCATATAAATAATGTTACGTTTTTCTCTTCCTGACACCAGTTGTTACATTATTTTCTTCCTTCACGTTCGTACGGGGTTTGTAGATTTGAAGTGAATAACGACGACACTTGATGAAGTATCGAAACACACTTTATTTAGCCAATATTAATCGGGACAGCTCCAATAACACTTTTTACAGTCGTCGAAAATCTACTGTAAACACACTGGAGCAATCAGCGACACAGCCTTCACACTGTCAGGCAATAACGGTGGAGATAGCTTCACTGCAAAGCACCAGAGTACAGCTTCCGACTTTGTTTGGTCGTTCTCGGAACTCTACGTACTCTCGAGACTCTTCACGCGATGCACTCGACGATACACAAGAGTATAGCTCTCGACTCAGCACAGCCTAAGACAAAACTCGACGATGCACTAAAAGACTCTTTCGATGCACTCGACGAACCCAACTCGGCGCTAGACTTCGAGACCCTCGCTCAATGACTGACTATCAGCTCGCTAGGCGAGGCACATACACACTGACTGACTGCGGACCAGCAGGGTTTATATAGCTTTCGGCTTGTGTTCGGGAACATTCTGGGCTAAACCGGTAAGAATTCGTTCCAGAAGGCTCTCCAACCCTCCATGGTACATCGCCAATTTTGTTGCCAAATGGGAGATTTTTCGTCAAATGTGGCAACCCTGCCTTCCCTTGCCATTTTATGGCAACCCTGAAACTGCTTTGCGGGGAAGCCATCTTACCGCGCCTGCACATTTCGTAGCAATATTTATTATTAAAATAAAATTTGACTGCTGAAAGTTCACGCACATTAGGATTAGGATTAGGAACGGGGAAGACGGACACCACACCTTTACCATTTGGTTAATTGGTTTAGCGCCGTCTCCCCACTACGTGATACCAGCCATTTATTGATTGAATACATAAATTACATAATACATAATAATAATCATAATACATAATTCGTAAATACATAATTTGGAATGATTACATGAAAATATTATGTTTGACAGAGGTTAAGTTTTCGATGGAGGGATCAACATTTAACTTGTTGGATACATAAATCTTTGTTCCACCAGTTAATGGCTTGTAACTTTTTGGTATGACGTTGTGGATGATATGCTTTGCAAGTATCTTCATAAGTTTGTAAGAGGCTATTTGTAAAGTTATTAAGGTCCTCTGTTGTTTCACATGATTGAAGTGTGGTACCATACTGGAGAGGTTTCCACGTATACTCTCTGTAAATATTTGAATTTTCTTGCCAGGAGACTTATATCTTTTGATAACTTGTAGATGAAACTTGTGCGATTTGGAAGGTTATATATTTATGATCTGAAAGACTATGTTCATCAGAGACTGCCCATTCTTGAATATACGGTGTTAAGGATTGATTCGACATTGTTAAGTCAGGCCATCCTATTGGAAAAAATATACGTACTTTAATGAACTCACGTACATTAAAGGAATGCCGAAGCCCTTTTCCGCTCCAACTAAAATTATGATTTATGTCAAAAACTGAGAAGTATGTACCAGAGCCAGGCTCCGGCGCAGTTTAAGTTCTGATGCTGTAAGTGCTAACTTCCCGCAAATTATTGCTCTAGTCTGTTACTATTTTGTCGGCTATATTTAGCTGACCACATCGTGTCCATTAATGCACCCTATTTTTAGGGTAGGATTCCATAACTTTGAAAATCTTAATTTACTGCATGTTGTTCTGTCGAAGATCGGTTATATTCAGCTGGCACCGTGTCCATTAATGTACCCTTTTTTTGACGGTAAGAGTCTATAATTTTGAAAATCTTAATCTACTGCTTGTTATTCTGTCGAAGATTGGCCATATTCAGCTGATATCGTGTCCATTAATGAATCCTTTTTCTGAGGGTAGGTTTCCATAACTTGTTACATACTGCTTGTTGTTCTTTGAAAAGAAATCCCACATTAATTTTTTTTTCTCTCAAAATGGAAGGAAAACATACAAGAGAAATTACATCATTGTTTGTAAAACAAAATGTGGCTTATCCAGAATCAATAAACTAAAGCGCAGATGTTATGAGCGTATTGTTAGGTCAAGCTTATCCATAACTGGTGATGAATCGTGCTGTTTGGCAACAGTTTCGCAGTCGACGGGATAATGCGTAAGTACCGAAATTATCTTCGTAAAAGGTCTGTATAAAATTTAAAACTTCACATATTTTTACTAAAGATGTCACGAGATCAAAATTATTGTATTCTGCAAACCTAACTTACTTCATTTACTTTTTATAGTAAAACCGTGAATCTACCATCAGTTGCTTAAAAACATTACGTACTCGAAGCATTCAGTTGAGTTAAACTAATGATAAACAAATTAAAATGATTTAACTGCGTCTAATGTTATTTTCATAATAATTCTATTAAAGAACGCAACATTTGTGTAATTTGGCTTCAGTTTAATTATAGCAGGCAAATCAAACAAATCAAAACACGTGATATACTCGTACATACCTGATTTATTATGTAACCATGTTTCCCGATTTATGCTCGTGGAAGATATCTTACCATGCCATTTATGTACATTTCATAAATAACTTTAATGTTTAATCAGTTATCTTGTGCAATCATGTTCCAGAAATGGTAATTTTCTGAAATACAAAGAGGAGTAAGAATGACTATCTTTATTTTTTATTACCTCCGAAACTGAACGTGGAATGTCAGATTTCACGAAAGTGATTCTTATATGGTTGGTGATTACAGGTGAGCAAATTTATACTCGAAATAAACAAGCAATTTAAAAAATATCCCTTGTAAAAAGCAGATATCAAATATCCTGTAATCTGAGAAAAAGGCTACACAGCTGCATAGTTGTCCTAAAGCACATTCTTCTTCCAGAGCAGGAAGATTGCATAACATTTCGAAGACACTTAAAAGTTGTGAAACGGTTCTTGAGATTACAATTTGCGTAGAAGAAATTTGTGCTTCTAAATTTTTCTTGTGGATGATAATAACTGACTGCTGAATCACTGCAAAGGTTTTTCTGGCCTACCTGTTGAATAAAATATGCCTTCTTCCTAGAAGATGCTTAAATGGAAACCATTGATATTTGCAGCAGATTCCACTATAGTCTTTTCCTTTAAAATATACTTCAAGGTCATATCTCTTATTTATGATCGTAAAGTGTTTCAATTCCGCACAGAGGAAATTAGACGGTTTTAGCAAATTAAAGGATTCGACTATTTTTCCTCAGTAGCCATCTCAATGGTTAATCAAAGTAATTATGGGGAAGAAATGGCTTTGAAATTATAAGAATTATGTTAACTTTATTAACAGTTAAATTTTGAGTTAAATTTCCTTTCCTATCAATTCTGAACTTCAACTTACCACTTCCGGCCAGAACGTAGTTTTAGAATCACGTCTGAATACATAATGAGGAAGAGCGGTATTTAACCTCAAAGTTCTTCAATCTTAGTGAGAGAGATAACAGGTATTCTGGCTGCACGGGTTCGCCCCTTTTTAGGCTACTCTCTCGTAAGCTATTATCACACTCGGCCGTACTTTAGGCCCTTGATAGCTTCGCAGTCTATTAACGTTAAGGGGCCAACTCTGTTAGAATTTTGATAGCTTCGGCTATACCTCTTTAGTTTAGATTAGTTTAGTTTAATTCTTAGTCTCTTAAGTTCGAGCCCAAGTGTCGGCTTTATTGTACAACTCCAAGACGGAGTTCTGTCAAATCTTATTTTGAATAATAAAGGGTTATTTTACCCTTCCATCTTATTGTTTCCTGTCACACGAACTCAAGCGATTATTCGCTTACTAGTTCTTAAAATTCTTCACTTTCAACAGTAACTTAGAATTACCCAGTGAGGAACTTTACTGTGGCGCCCGAAATAAAAGGGTGTTGGATGATGATTCTCCTCACCCAGGATTTGGCGATTGGGTCCCTTAAAAACCCGTCGCCCTTTAAAAGGGGGAGATATAAGGTATTTCTCCCTCCTTCCTAGCGTGCCTTCGTGGTGTAGTTCTCAGCACACTGAGCCGGCATTCAGAGGTCCGTGGTTCGATTTTCGGCGAAGGCGTTTACTCATTTTTCATCTCTCCTGTTTCCAAAATAATTCCAATGTCTCTACAAAGTGACTATTCTAAAGGCAACAGATTATAACAGTAACTACGCTAGTGCTTTAGTTACTAAAAGATAGACTTAACCCCCCCCCTCCAGCCGCGAGGCACGGAGGTAGGAAATAAGACCTTTCTTACCTCCATGCTGCGAGCGGTAAAGTCCCTTTCTCCATGTGTAACTACGTGGGTACGAGCCAGATTCTTTAAAAGTCCTCCACGGGGCAAATACCCTTTGGCAAATACCGTTCTGTGAAACG